ACATGTGGAGCTTCTTAAGTCAGACAATTCCATATTGGCCCATTTTTTGCCAAACCATCTGCTGATTTTTTAATGGTTCTTGTTGTTCCTAATCATGTTCCCGTAATATCACTTTTGCAGGGCCTTCATTGTGTCTGGAAGGTTGGTTCCAGCTAATGATGTTCTAGCTACACTGTATTCTCAACCAGATAAAATGGTAGATATTGTCGGTATTACGTCATTGCCATATGAAGATTCTATATTTGAAAGGAGAAGGAAATTGGACTTCCTTCATATGCAGGAAGAACTGATGAAGGTTGGAATATTTTTTCTTTTATCTTGATAGCTTTGTAGATATCTATTGGTGCTTTAGGAAGCTACAAAACTAAACTTGCTAATATGTATTTCATCAGGAGGAAAATATGTGTGTATTTTGTTAAGCCAGTTTTGATGCATTTGTTTTGGACTTGGCTGAAATTCGGAATCCAAAAAATAAAAATAAAAAAAGGATGAGCAATCAAATAATAATGTTGAAAACAAAACTCCTGAAATCAATATTATGACTATCATCCAGAGATTCTAAATTATTATATTGCAGAAGGAGGAAGAGAGAGAAAGAAGAGCAAGCCAAGATGAAGGAAATTAAAGCCAGTGAAGAGGATTTGGCATTGAAAGAGATGATTATTCCAACAGCAAAAGAAGCACGAGAACAAGCAAGGGCAAGGACACTAGAAAAGGAAGAGAAGATCTGCGAAATAAGTTGTGCATTGGCTGTTTTGGCTTCTGCATCTGTAAGGACTGGACTTAATAACTCTCAATGATTATGATTGTTGATTTTTCATTTTTCATTTTCCAAATTTTCAAGCACTATCATCTACACTATGGCTTAACAGTTTTTAATTTTTTCTGTTATTGACTCATTATTTCAGTCAGTTAGTAGGGAGCGTGAAGCGTTCCTGAGACTTGTCAATTTGGAGGTAATTTAAAACCCTTAATTACTCCTAGTTTATATTAGGTATCTATTAAGATGGAAGCATTTATCGTTGGTACCCTTACCATAGGTATGCATGGCATGCTAGTCTTCTCATGCTCGATATATGCAGACGCATTGGAGGTTTAACTGCTTACAGTTTATCAGGAGGACCGTACATCACAAATATTGTCTGCAGTTCTGATTTCCATGTTTCTGCTTGTACTGTGGATGTATTGGAAGAATTTGGATGTTGATGTCCACTATGCTTTGGCCCCTTTTAGTTTGAAGGATGTGTAGATTGACGACTTTTTAACTTTTAATGTGATTTACTTATGAGCTGTCTTCTACACATTATGTGCATGCATGCAACTCTGTCTTCAGCGTCATGTTCAAGTCAGAAGAATACTTCTGTATGTTCTTGTTTTAGTCCAAATGCATTGTCTTTGGGAATATTTTGCTTAAGTTGATTCTTTTGATCTTTCCAGATTGAACTTTACAATGGCATGGTGGAGAAAGAGGGTACATATGGTGAAAAGGATGCCTTGAAGGCATATAAAGTTGCTCAGGATGAAAGTGACAGTACTTCTGTTGAGGCTGAAGGTGACGAGGTTTCATCAACGCTTATAGACAAGGTTATAAATTAAATTCTGAATTATCTACTTTTAACGTACTTACCCCTCGTTCACGTGATGGATTATCATATATTCTATGTATCAGGTGGATGCAATGCTTCAAAACCTTGAGA